TCTGCCGGATTTATAATACGACACTTGGAGGGTCTCTGAAAGTCCTCAGAGTGGTGATGTCCTTTGAGAAGCAAGCCAGTCGACTTGCTCCGCACCGCAGCATGCAGGGCAAGCTGACATGCCGGTCAAAACTTTAAGTGGATGTGTCCAAAAAACATCAGAAAGTCCAGCATGGAAGGAAGGGTTCGTGGGTTTTGAGATGTTTTAAATTGTTTTAAGGTTATTTTCCCATCTTCTGATCTCTTCTGATTCTTCTCTGAGACATGAGATCCTGTTTCATCACAAGCCCGCAGCCCACGAGTCACATCTGGTGGGCCAATCTACTTCATCTTTGGCCCATGTGGCTTCGCCATGTGGTCCCGAACACTATCCCGGTCGGAATTTAAAAAGCAACAGTCCTCCGGTGGATGATACGTTTGTGACGCCCTGTAAAGTTCTGCTTGACAGCGGAGAGATCTCTGCCGCATTGAGCTAGCTTTGCTCATCCCCAACCATGTGACGATGTGACCAGTTTCTGCATGGGCGAACTGGTGTAACTGGTGCCTTTTTGGACATTGACGCCTTTCGAGTTGATGGAAGCGGGCCTTGAAGAATGCCACGGTGTTCATCGGTTTTCTGCTAGTTCTGGAAGCGGCAGAGGCATCTCAAACACTCCAGAAAACTGGCACAACGGTGGCTCATAATGACCGATGAGCCCACAATGTAGACTTGTGATTGTACTTCAGCCCTCCAAGCCCTAAAGAGGTTTCACAATCCATGCAGGAACGTGTTCCATCAAATCAAGAGTCTACATGAAAAATAGCTCCGGAAGAAGCCATGTCTTTAGACTCTTTAGGCTTGCCATGTCGCTGTGCATGGCTTGGAAAGGGAGATCACCGAACCCAGCGGGTTGGAACGCGGCAGGCAGGTCTCCTGGGAGGTCTCCCTAACTGTTTGAATATGTTGAGTTGAATATGTTTGGCACAAGAATAAGCATCAAAAGAACATATTCAACTGACTCACGTTCAAAGCGAAGCCGCGGAATCGTTGACCGCGGCTTCACCTGGCTGCAACCTCTAACTCCGCCACCGCAGCTGCGTCAGGTGCCGCCAACCTGGAGCCCAACAGCCCAGCTCTTTGAAGGAGCATGGTGGGCTGAATCAACTTTCCGACTGGGGCCTAACAGGTTTGAAGGTGGTGTAACATGGTGTTTACATGGTGTAACATGGGGTTTAACATGGGGTTTAACATGGTTTGAAGGTGGTGTAACATGGTGTAGCTTTCAAAACAAATCTTGGATAATCTCGGATTTATTTCGATTTGCTTCTTTGCCGCCCAGGAATCTGGGCAAATGAAAAACAATTGAAACCACATATATTCACCAGGTTAGGGGATTCACCCAGCCATGTGTGTCATTTCTCAGCTAACTGAGGGTCATAGCCCGCGGGCGCTGGGGGATTCACCCAGGAACCGATCGGCACAACCAGGGACTCCTCTGATCCAATCGGATCGTAACAAGCCTTGGAAGGCGCGGTCGTGCTGAAGCTAAGCCACACTATACGTACCCGCAAGGTCAAATCAAAAGGAGAAAAGGACTGTCCATTTCGACTGTAGGTGATTGAACATCTCAAGTTATTTGATACTTGGGAGATACTTGGTAGCTGCTGTCTGAGACAACTGCTAGATTTTTTCATGAGGCAGCTGAGACCAGGACCCTTTGGTCAGACTAAGAAGTTTCATCATGCACTGGGGTTCCGTTCCTGCATGAAGGCTGGGAAGTCATCAGGTCTTCAAACTGACCCACAGTTACGTTGAGGTCATTTCAAGATTCATTGGTCGCACCAGCCGGCTCTGACCCTTAACATCGACAGTGACATGGAGAAACATGGATGTCGTCGACTGTGGAATTCTCGGAATGGCAAGCCAGCACAAAGCCTAATGCATCCCAGGTCCGTGAACATTTGAGAGACATTGCCAAGCCACTTGCTACAAGTGGAGCGCAAACACCGGAACCATCACACAAACAAGAAGAAACACACAATGATGCACAGTGTAATTAACCAAACATTGCTCATGTGACTCATGTGTGTATAGATCCTCAACACAGTATGCGGCATTTCGGCTCTGCGTCGACTCCGAAATTCAGGACTCCTTTCACCCCACATCTCCACGAGCCTTTCGGTGTGCACCTGGCGCCAGAAACTCCCGAAAGTCATGAAACATGTCACCCGAACGAAGACCACTTTGCTTGGTGAGGTGTTTCTTGATGTTTTTCAGGGAGGCTCTCCAAATCCAACACTTCTGCATACCACAAGTCGTTCCACAAATTACCAAGCAAGGCCCCCCTTGATTAAAGGCTGAAAGAATGATCACAGGCCCTGTTTTCAGCTTAACTTGATCATCCCGCTACTGGGGTCACCCCAAACCGATTGGCCCATGAGGGCCGTAGCAATGGTATAGCATCAATGGTCCATCGCAATTGGTTGTAGCATCCAACCTACGATCGCGATGGCCTCCATCCGAATAGTTTCCTGGCCATCCTAATCGCGATGGCCTCTAATAAGAGACACATCTTATTTGTAGCCTCCGAACATGCCGGGACCTTAGGACCTGAACCGGGACCTTAGGACCTAAACATCCTCTCTGAACATGCACCAGGGACCAACGGTGCACGCCGAAAAATAACCCAGGACTCCCAGGTGACGAGGTGCAAGTGGTTCACCCGTAGACGGGCAGGAAGAAGCCACCAGCCAAATAAAGCTTTTGGACTTCGTAGCAGTGAGAAAACAAAGCAAAAGACGTCTGTGACCCTCAAACGTGTCTTCCGTTGGCGCCCTCTCAGACGCGGTTTTTCAGCTTCGAGTGCACCTCTCGCACACGAGAGAAACTGCGCAGTGTGAGGACCTTAGACACAACACATGACAGGCTTGTCGAGCGAACCGGACCTGCGAACCTGCCCTGCGAACCTTGTATTCTTGTAGCTCGAGAATGGGTATACCGTATAAATAATGTAGACTCGATTGATACAACCCCCTGATTTGGCCAGAACCTCTATAGATATGGGAGGTATTTTTGATCAATATTGATAAGTTATACATTACACTACCTACAAACAAATATCATCGATCGCAGAAATTGACACTCCAATAATTTGTTTTCCTCTACGACTCTACTCGTTTGTTGGTTTTTGGGTATGGAGGACGATTTCTGACACGAAACCGGTCGAAGCAAGGATGAAGCCAGTCGGCGAGCATCCCGAATTTAAGAGTTGGCTGAAATCGAAAACTGCAGATTCACGAATGCAACTCACCCGAAACATGTCCACCGAATAGGACCTGCAGCACTCAGGCTTGCTACTTCATTCTTTTCTCTGCTTGGCTCCAGGTTGAAAACGCCAGTCAGATCGAGGGCTATACAAGATCAAGACCAAGCTAAAGAGGCCGTTCTCAGTTCCCCTGCAGGGTCCTTTTGGCCATGATCCGGTTGGAAGAACCTACCGAAACACGGTCCGGCGGCCCAGTTTGGGGGAGTGTGACGATAGGTCAGTGTCAAGCACTGGAATAAGGAGCAAACGAATTGCTGCCAAATTGATGACTCCAATTCATCACAATTCAGCGTGCTGCCCAAACTTCTGTGTTCAACTTTTCAACCCTGAAAATAACTTAGTATATTAACTATAATGTATACAATACAGTTAATTATTACAACAACTATTTTATTATTGTATAATGATGCTGTTCGACATGATTTGACTGCGAAGCAGGAGTGGGCGTCCTGAGTCTGGATTTGTTTGGCAGAAAGCATTGCTCACAAATCCGGCCTTTGAACATATGGCCTGGCACTGAGCTACTGCTCAGCAAATGGTAACTGCTACTGCTGGGCATCCTTCCAAAGATTTTGCTTGAATTGTTCTTGATTCCTTTGAACCGAATCAAAACAAGTTGAATGTGTGACAGCAACCCAACATCTTTGCAGTTTACCAAACAATCCCGAAGAATCCCCGCCCTCAAAAACACATTGGGCCTTGAGGGCCTGGACCATGGAGGGCCCAAGGATTCTTAGGGATATATGAAATGTATGGAACCTACGGCGCTTCGCGCGCGGAAGTGAAGACTGCAGTGAGCTGGACCATCCAAAAGACTGCCACCCAAGGCACACTGCGAGACCAGCTCAGTCTGCAGATCAAATAAGGAAGTGGAACAGCTCATCTATTGCTATAATATATACAAACCTCGCCCTGCCGTGCTTCGGTCAAGTCCCGGGTGAACGGATCTAGTCCCCACCCGACCCAACTGGCCAAAGAGTTAATGGTTTGCTGACTGCTGGGACCTCCAACCACGAGTAGGATTTGCAGAGTCCTACTCCTGTCGTTGACAGCAACAAAGCTAATTATACAAAGCTCAAAAAGGTCCTTCTTTGGTGGAATAAATCTTGCTCCGACAAACACGGACTTGTTCCTGCATGGCAAGCTTGAGCAAGGCTGCAAATAGCTGCAAGTAGTTTATCTAGCCACTGCTGCGACTGTCTATGGAGGTCCCGATGTAGAAGGAACGCAAAATGCGACCAATCTGGACCCCACTCTGCGTGGGGTGCGCCACGCACCCGGCGGATGGGCTGTCGACCTTTCTCTGGGATTAAACTAGTTGAACTAAGCCGTCTTCAGGGTCTTGCATGGTCTTGCTTCAGAAAGACTACGAACTAGTCTAGTTAACTAGTCCAAAGGAACGAGTCTCAGGTCAATTTCGCCTCGTTGCCTATTCGACTCATCGGTTCCTGACATCCTCGCAGGTTACCCACCGCCAAGGTCCAACGCAGTCCAGCTTGGCCGCTGCCCTTTCACACCAGTCCACAACTGACTGGTGTGACGAAAGTAAGGAATGGGGTTTCGGCCTCCAATGGAGAATCCAATTCCCTTATTTCAAAGCAGTGAGACAACGATGGAAAGTCGATGCCGGTCTGGTACGGTTTTTCGCCGACCAGGCGCTCGGCACGTGGAAAGTGTATACTGGGGCCCTGCTGAGTCAGAAGAACATTGGCATGTCACAAAAACTGAGCTGGTTGAGCCGAGTCTCAGAGGCATGCCACGATCCTTTGACCATGCAGACCGTGCCGGTGGGACTACCTCCACAAGCAACCCATGTTTTCACTCTGGGATACCTTCTGCTGATGCCGCTTAGCCAGCCTGAAGCAGCACGACAAAAACTGTCGACATTGGTTGTTCCCCTGTCCCCCGTTCTCCGTCCACGAGGATTTATATGGGAGGGTAAGTAACCATAGTTGGCTAAAACCCGTCTTCATCCCTGGTTGAACCTAAGCCGTTGGGATTTAACCCCAAAAAAGCTGCTGAGTGGCAATTTGCTGTTGCTTGATGTTGTTTCAAGATTCCTCCAAGCTGTGCTTGCCCGGATGCAAATTGCAAATTTGTAAACATGTCATACACAAATCACACTGCCTTCATTGTGGTTTGTTTCCTGTCGCGAACGAAAGGGTGACCGTTACTTATCCGCCGACCCCAGCCTAGCTGACGCCTAGGCGGGGCGCCTGGGACACTGCAGGGTGGAAGCCGTTGCCAGTGGATGTGCCTTGCAGTGTGGAAGCCGTTGCCAGTGGATGGGCCTTGCAGTGTCCAGCGAAGTCGCCCTTTGCAAACCTTGGCCTGCATCTCTTTTCTATCGGGTTTCTGAAGGCGACGTTAGGCATTGGCCACACCAGCCTAGAAGGCCTTGGCCTGCACCTCTTTTCTTTAGGGCTTCTAAGGCGACGTTAGGCACTGGCAGGTCTAGAAGGCCTTGGCCTGCACCTCTTTTCTATAGGGTTTCGAAGGCGACGTTATAAGCACTGGGCACACCTCCTTTCGTCCTTTCCGACCGCTGTTGCGCGCAGAAGTAGATGGTGTCGTTTGCCCGCCCTGAAACGCTCCGCACGTTGTGTCCCTGGACCGCTTTTGGCGTGGTCCTCCACGTTTCGGTGCACCCCTGCAGCTAGCTGGCAGCTACCTGGCTGCTTTTGGCAGCAAGTTAGGCCTGTCAGCGGTCCTTCGCCCAACAACGTTCAGGCCTCCGGGCTTTGCCGTGGCGAGACCGAGCTTCTAACGTGGTCTTGCAGATTTTGGAGCCCCCTTGCACCTACCTGGCAGCTATAGGCATCCACCTGGGGCTGGCGACGTCAGACACTGAAAGCGCTCGCGCGCTGCTCCGTTCAAACCTTCCGGGCCGCTGCGGCGTGACCGAGGTTTTGGCGTGGTCTTGGCAAGCTTTCTTTCTGCAGGCTGTGAGTTTCAACTTTTGGGAGGGAACCTGAACGAATCCGCGGCCGGCTGCAAAAATACGGGTCGGCGGCACCAGGGCGTTAGCCCTTACTATTTGTAACTGGTTTGGTCCGCTGCTTTTGCAAAATGGAGACAGCGGGCAAACGCGGGACACTTTGTTTGAACTGTGCCACATGTTGCAGGCCCAAAAAACTGTGCCAAGGTCATCTGCGATGGAATCAGCTGCCCGTTGTTGCGATCGTTCGTTGGTGTCTCAACTCCTCCGTGGTCATCGAGGAGAAACCTCACCTGGAGAAGCGGCTGTCGTAGCAGGCTTGGGGTCTGACACCAAAAATAGTTTGAAGAATTGGCTCCACCATAGCCCCAAGATGGGCCCACATAGGCCCAAGACGGGCTCAACATGGGTCAGGCCAACGTAGGCCCATGGGTTCGACCTGGCCCCAACACCGCAACCACAACCAGAACCACCGCCACAACAAGAACCACCACCACCACCACAACAACAATAATCCCTCCTATACATATATACATGTAGGTGTGTGTCTGATATCCGTGCCCCTTACTACCCCCATGTCCTTTCTCCCTCTCCTGTGTGCCGGCGCCCGGCTGTCAGGCGTAAGCCTTTCAATCGCCACCGGTGAAAAAATACCATCACAAGGGGTCGGGACGTCATGGGAAAAGCGAACCAACGAAGAATATACGACCCTCCCTCTCCGGTGCCATCAAGCTCCGGACGTGAAGTTGGTTTGAAGTACATCATATCAAGTCCCCCTCTAATTTTGGAAAAGTATTAAATGTACTCTTATGTGTATTTAACTCTAAATATATATATATATCTATCATAGTATGTTACATTGAATAATATTAAAAATAAATATATATATAATATATCAGCTTGTGATGCGTGGATACATTTCGGGGATCCGGGAAGCAATTGCTAACAAATCAATCAACAACAAAAGTCCAGACGCAACAACACAACACCTTTTGTATATATCATGTCAATATCATTTCACTACATCTGATCCACTACAATCCATGTGAACAATTGATCAACGAATGTTTTTCAGGCGCAGATGGGTTTTTCAAGCCGCATCACTCTCACCCTCACTGCCCCGGCGGAATCAAGCAGTGAAGCTGTCTTTTTCCCACCACATACTCTGAACCTGGACTGCTGGGGGTGTCCGAATGTGTTGGATCCGATGCGCTCGACATTCCCAGCCCATTCCCAGCACCGCTGTGCCGCGCTCCCGTCCTGCTTGGAGCCTTTGGATGCCACCTCGGAAACGGGACACTGCAGAAATCCAAACCGAGTTGGGGGAGGGTTTCATCGTTTTTCAGGTTCTGGCAGTGAAACGTCTGAGATTATGGATGCTGGAAAATTGGCCACGCTTGATGGCTAATTATAGTTGTTCCGAATATCATACCGGACCATTGACTCAGTTTTGTCTTGATCTGGGTGAGCGTTGGGCTATGAACTTCCGCCTTTGAACTGCTTCCTCTTGGCACCTGTCTTGAAATTGAACTTGTGATTCTTCCTACTCGTGGCAACGGATAAGGCCTTGCTGTTGTTCTTGCGAGCCGAGTTATAGCTGATATCCCTCTCCGTAGGTATCCTCAGGTGAGCTGATTTAAACCTCATGTGCGGCCTTTAATGTATATATATATATATCTTTAATCCTGCAATTGGTCTGTCTTCCCCTTCTGGACATGGAGCATCATCAACACACCCATAAAAATCTGAAGCCTGGATGTCTCGAAAATTCTCGAAATCTTTCTATCTCAAAATACCTTCTGAGGCATTGAGATGGGCGTGTGGTTTTGGAGCTTCAGAACTGCCCAGACTTCTCAGACTTCGATGCACAGCTGCTGGGATTGGACCCTGAAGAGTCAAGAAGCCCTGGGCATTGACTCTTCAGGGTCCATGCGTTCGTAGCCTTGTGATTGGTTCAATGACTGTTTCAATATGTTTCAAGCCATGCACAAGAAAATGTGAGTCACTGGGATGAATCATTGAGAAGCCGCCAACCAGTTCAGGAAATATTGTTATATATTCTTTCAATCTTCATACCTTGGCTCCCCCTTGTGGGAAGCCCTCCAAAAGCCCCCATTGCTGGGTGAGAAGAAAGATGAAGAAAGCAACAACCACTTCTACATACTTCTACTCTGAGACTCATGACTTCTCACCCTCCTTTGCAGTTCCCCGTTCTTCTCCTTCTCCCCACCCACCGGGCCGCCCCGACCAGATGGGACTTCGGCCGGATGGGACTTCGTGCGTGTGCCGCAGCCGCATCGGCGGGCAGATCCGGTGCCGAGCCCAAGGTGGAGACGGAGAAGTCATCGCAGAGTTTCTCATCCATGGCCTACAGAACGAGAGAACACGCGTGGCGCCGCGGTGCGTGAAGGGGTGTTTTCAACCACCAAAGAGGTGATGATACATCGATGGTTGGAGCGAATGTGGAATGATGTGGACATATGTGTGGATGGATGCATTGGAATGGGGTGAAAGTTGGTCATGCTATTTGATCCCTACGTCCGAAAACATGCCAAAACAAGGAATATTGTTTTTTTCCAACCCCCCGCCATTTGTCTCAATTCTGTGCCAATAGAAGACAATGGTCAAAGAGTGAAACAGCGATTGGAGGCGACCAGGCGGGAAGAAGTCCCTGGAAGCTGCGGGTCGGATTCTGCCAGAGGTGGATCTGCCAGTCGTTGGTGTGTTTTGGACTATAGGGGGAGATGCCCAAACCAATGAGTTTCAGTACTGGTTGACGGATCTATTCCTCCTCTTCTTCTGTCCAGCTACTCCCATGTGTTCTCTTTCACGAGATGCATGTGTTTCTGGGTATCGGAGACTCCAAAGTTGTTGACAGTCCCATCCGGAGGAGGCTTTGGAGGATTGCAGGAGGTTGGAGTTTCTCAAACAAACAAAATTGGAAGATTCACGCACATCTTCAACAACAAAAACGGATCCTCCAACCCTGAAAGAGCAAGTACCTGACCAGCTGCTTCCAAGGGGTCACCAATGGATATCTCCACACTACTTACAGGTCTCCATTGGGCAACCCTTGGAAGCGCTAGGGATATTTCGAACTATATGGATTTTGCAAAGGAAACGTATCATTCAGAGTTCTCTACTCTGTGATTTCAGGACATCTACCTGCTAAGACCAGCGCTTGCCCTCTCTACTGGGATCTTCTCACATCCAAGGTGCTGGCGATCGATCTGAGGATGACACCTTTGGATTCACCTCACATCGGCACGCCAGCGCAGCACGAGGTCGCGCCCCTGGCGGTTTGGGACCAGTGGGTAAGGGCGGTGAGAAGGGCCTTCCCTCACCGTGGAGCATCACGGGCTGTCCGGTGGTGCCACAACTCTCTGAGCAAGTGGCTGCGACGTCGTCGATTGGCCCATGAGATCGTCCGACCAAAAGCGAAGCGACACGTCGTGTGGTCGGGTGACCCGGGTGCACTGCGCGAGGAAAAACACGGTCTTTTTTCTGCACTAGTCACTGGTCGATACTTTTCTCCGAGCAAAACCAAGTGCTTGGAGATCTGTCAAATGTTTCAACACCCTGAAGTGTTAGGTGTCGATAGCGCAGACGCATGTATATTTCTGAAGTGTCATATATGACATGTCATAATTACAAGGTATAATTAGTAACTAGTACATGTACGCTTACACCTCGATGTCGAATCTTCGCCGTCAAAAGGGGTGCCTTGTGCCATTTGTGCACTGGAAAGAACAGAGATGCTCTTTTTGGTTCAAGGTCTTACACATCGATATACGCAACAACTCTATAGGCATGTTCACATCCATAGACACATGGCACACTTGCTACACGTTCCACTCCACAGGTTCTCATGGTTTTTGAATGGTCATCCCTCCATCTCTTTCTCATCACGCCCTCGCACCCCCTTTTTTCTCGCTCAAGCAGCAAGCCAACTTTTTGGCCACAACCAGTCCACATCTAGCACTCTGTCCAGATCTAAGCAATGATTTCAGTGAACAGTGAACAAAAGACTTCTTGACTGGATGGCACTTAAACCACCGCGGCTTGGAGAGTAAAACAGCCCATCTTGTGCTCGTGTCCTGTTAGAAGCGTAGCTCATCACCGCACATGATATCATATGATATCTGTGTGATGAGGGTCACGCTCGTGGATCTGCACACCACCCCAGTGACGGAGACATTGACACCTGTTTCGCTGGTGAGGCCGAAGAACCACCAAGTCCTTCGTCCGCCCTCTCGCCGGAGACAGCAAAAAAAATATGGGGGTGTATTTTAATCGGGAGACCTTGGAGACCCCCAACCAACGGGTTCTATGTCCCTTCTTCTAGGTCTCCCTATTTGAGCTACACACCCATTTCTTCTATTTCTTCTAGATTTCGGGACTTTGGAAGCTGAAACCTCGCGTCCAACTGCTGCTTCTTTTGTACAATTTTCAGAGACCAACTGCGAACCCCACCTCTCACTGGCCCCTGGGGTGACCGAGCAAATCAAAAGGGTCATAGTGCATATGCCAAGCCCAGGCTCGCAGGCTGGACGCAAGAGAACATGGAAGCCCAAGGCGCCTGCTGATGTTTGGGCTGGGGCAGCACGATGAGCTGAATATTTTAAGACCCAGTTCTTTGGGTCTTCTCTCGGACAAGAAGAAGTGGACAGCCTGGCAATAGTCTGGCCGTTTCCACAGTCTCAAGCATTTTCAGCATCCCATTGATCACGTCCCGCTGCCTGCACGGCTGATCACATCGCAGCTCCGCTGCTCAGCAGGACGCGAAGCTCATGGGTATGCTTCAAACTGGACAATTTCATTCGTAACGCCCGGTTACCGGCATGAAGTTCACATGCCGAATTTTCCGGGCTTCGCCAGGCTCCGTTTGCAGCTTCATAATGGTATCCTTGGACCTCCCGAAATGGATACAGCTTTGGGAATCATAGACCGGAACAGGTGTGAAGGTCTTGACAGTTACCCGCTACATGCAGGGTGAGGTCGGCCGAGAAATGAAGAGTGGTCTGTGGGGTGAGATGGGGTGAGGACCTGAGCGTCCAACATGTACCTCAAGCGTCCCACGTCCAGGCACGTACCTTGAGTTGGTGTTTCCAACGTCCAACGTCCTGTCACTGGGGTCATTCTGGCGCGTTCAGGCGCGGTCGAAGCTGGACGAAGCTGCACTGGCGAAGCCAATGCCATTGCGTGGCGATTGAATCTTGGCGACCAATATTCGCTAATGTCTTCATTCTGCGTGTGCCGGGTCACTACAGCAGTCTCTGCAAAATATGTGGGGAGATACTCTCCCTGCAGTCTCAGCTCTGCAAACTCATCAGCACTTGTATGGCAAGGTGGAGAAAAATACGCCAGGTCAGGCAACAGTTTTGTTTGGAAAACTAAAGGTTCACCTTTGGTGACCTGTTTGGTGACCTGTTCTTGTTGAGTGAAACTCCAAAAACAGTGTTCATACCAGTTCTTGTTTAACTCAAAAACATACCCCCCAAAAAAGTTCTCCACTTTTCCTGGGTAGGACTCCGAGTCCTGACCTCCTGCCTCTCTAAGATAGAGAGGCCATCTTCCGCTCACTTCGGCGCCGCCGGAGTACGCGGGACCCGTTCGATTCTGCAAGGCACGTTTGGGTGTGTAATCTTTCTCTGGGGGGACCCCCCGGCGCCATAGCTTTTGAATGGTTTGGGGTCTATTTCCTTTCTTGCAGGTCGAACTGGGAGGTCTCCCTATTTGAGCTACACACCCCATTTACTAATTTATAAAATCCTTTACGACCTGAGCGACTCCTTTGGACGTTGAAAACGTTTCTGGCTCCTTTGGGCTGCGCCTGCTGGCTTCAACTGAGCAACTCTGATCCAAAGAAATCACTCGGTGTGTCATAGTGCCGAAAGGTTTTGAGACCTTGGACATGCATCCCCCTCCCAGACATCATCTGCTTTGGAGGGCATCCTGCGCGGGCCATTGGCAACAGCCGGATAGAACCATTCTGCGAAAAACGGCGGTTCGAAGTCTTCTGTGCGGCTGCTGACCCCTTTTGTTGGCTTCTGAAGAGTAGTCGACACCTACTAAAGTTCCCAAACAGTCTTGTGTCTTTTCTTTTGGTTGTCTATTTTTCTGTGGCTCTTTGAAACGACTGAAAAGCAATGCACGCACTTCGTGTATTCCCACCATCCCCGTGCACTCCACTGAACAGGTGGGGCGCGTGGCCTGGCTGTTTGTCCAAGGCCAGTATGAATTCGTAGGATCATCCCTGCTCCGTCAAACGTCCAACTGCGGAGGTGGGATGGAACGATCATCAATGATTTTCATGTATCATTCAGTCGATTCAGTCAACGCACCAATACCTTTTGAACAGCAGGGCAGCCTTGCACGTGACCCAAATATGATGAAACACCCAGTTCCGAATGGAAAGCTTTGCTCACTACTACTACTACTACTACTACTACTACTACTACTACTGAGCATCCTCCCTCAAAATGTTGCCGGAGGAGCAGTCCTTGTGAGAAATATACAGTAAATGGGCGGGCAATAAAGTACGCCCTCACAAAGATTCACAAACTTTGGGGTTTGGGACTCAAGTGCACATTCCTATTCATGGGGAATCATTTCAGCTGCCCATGGAAGTGTGGATGACTTGCCAGAGCCAAGGAAATAATTGGAGTCGACCTCTAAAACTAATACTTGTGCACAAACTAACCGAGTACGGCGCAGTCCTCCATGAAGACTTTCTTTAAGCTTCTGCCTATAGCTTGCGAACAACGACCTGCCACAAAGCAAAGGCCAGATTCCGTAAGGATCCACATACCTTCTGAGAAGGATCCACATCCCTAGGTGATTGGAGACACTGTTATGTATGTAGGTTTGGAGGGTCCAAGTACCTTCGGAGAAGGTACTTGGATCCGAAGGGCATTACAATACATCTAGTGCATTCGCAATCATTCACAACACACCCAAAACAGGCAAGCTTGTTTGTCGCCCAATCGGGTGCTTTTCATGTCCTTCTGAAGCAAGGTCTCAGGGACGCCGCCTGGCACATCTCAGCGCTTCCGCCTCTGTTCAGGGGGGGATGCAAAGTTCGAGGACGTGAAGAGGAAATTGAACTCCTCAAAGTCGACGTCAAAAGGTCCTGTAAAGGTCCCCCGACTCGCGAGCCTCAGCTCTCGATTTCTTTACAAGATGAGACGCGAGGCCCGAGGCGGGATCAAGAAGGATCAAGGTCAAAGTCACGTCTTTTTATCAGCATCGTGGGAATCCATCAGAAATACGTTGCGCGAGAAACACGTTTGAGGTCATCATAGATCATGCGTCCAGTTCACCACAAGACACATCATCACAATAGTTTCCTTTAGAGGAGGCTCCTTTTTGGATATCTCAATCAAACTACACATTGGTCGGCCACATGGGTCCGTCTCCTGCGCAAGGAACCAAACAAACATACTGCATGTTGAAACTGTAGAAGACATGCCTTTTTTCTGCTCCGAGACACATGAGACACCGCTCAACACTTGAAGTCTGGGTTTCTGCTGTCTGGCCACCACCACCAAAACCCCACCGCCCCCAGGGCCCAGGGAAACGAATAACAGCATGCTGAGCGTTGATCACGTTCGGGGACCAGAAGTTGATCAGTGCCCCATCGTTTTTCTCAGTGCAGCCCAAGCGCTCCACGATGGACTTGGCCGGGATCAAGGATGCACACTGAAGATCCTCTGGATTTGTCAAGGATTGCGTGCTGCACTTGGACTCCACCTCGTCCTGGAACCGGACCTGCGGCATGAACCGGTCAAAACACACACACTTGTTTCTTAAAGGTCGACTCCAGCGTGGCCGATGAAGACATGGGTAAGTGGATGGACCGCCTTCCTAAAGGAAAAGCGTGGTCCTTCAGCCCTTCTGGGTCCATGCCATCCACTTCTGATGTCAACCAGTACGGTAACCCATGATTAAGCATCGCACATGTTCATCTAACAGGTGAACAGGTGGAGCACAGAATCCTCAGAAGAGCAGCACGTCTGTTCACCTCGGGCCTTCGGGACGGGCGTCCTGAACGTCTGAAGGACGGCGGACCGGGCTCGGTGTGGTCTGGCGGGATGATGGGACTCTGAAGGGGTGACTGGTCGGACGGTGTGCCGAAGGGGCTTTGACATGGGAGACAGCTTTCTTTCAGGAGAATGAACAAAACCAGCTGAACGGTAGCGATTAGACTGCATGATTAGACTAGCGATTAGCATGCGATAGCAGCGCAAACTAGAGAAGCCGAGTGAGAAAGGATGTTCGTTGAAGATTCTCAGGGCAGGCCCTCAATGGATTGTGGGAACGACCGCAGTCCTCCACAGTCCGCGCAACAGTTGCAAACATTCCTGCCTCCCCTCTAGGAACAAACATCAGTGAAGATCCATAACAAACAAAGCCTACAAGTTCGTCAACATGGAACCCAAAGACTCATTGAAACACTCGTGCCATGGACTTTGATAGTGTAGGACATTCAGCAATCTTAAACTCGTGTCTTTGTAACTATCTATGTATTTCACTGCTCATCTTGCCTGCTTCTCACAGCATCCAGATTGCACCGAAAGCAGGTGTTTGCCCGAAGATGCCAAGGAGTGCGACAAAGATGTCTCCTTCTCCTGCAGTTCGTTTGTACAAATCTCCACCAAGTGGGTTCCTAAACACACCAAAACCCTTCGCCTGTGTTTGAAGCATCATATCGCCACTGATTTCTTTGGTGACATAAGAGCATCTACATCAACACGTACTATGTCTTGTCATCCGTCGTCCACCTGCATCACGGCGCGACTGAAGGTTGGTTGCGTGATGCTCAACCCAAGGGCAACAAATTGAGGCCTAAAGGTCCAAGGTTTAGTGTGGAAGCAGGTCTAGAGATCTAGACGTAGTGGAGTCCAGAGAGAACTAGAACTATCAGTAGGTGTCTAGAGGTCCAGAGGTGTTGTGGCTTGGGATCCGGAGAGGTCTTGAGACCAAGTAGAGGGATCTAGAGGTCGCAGATCTAGAGTTCTAAAGGCCTAGATATCCACAATTGTAGAGGCAAAAGATCTGGATGTCTGGGTCTAGAGTTCTTGGAGGCCTAGAGACCCAACTCTAGTGTTTTAGAGGTCTAGACTAGAAGTCTGGGGGCTTGAAAGGTCTAGAAGTTGAGGCATGAGACCGAGGTCTAAAGGTCAAGAGATCTAGGGGTCTACAAAGATCTACATCCAGAGAGACCTAGAGGTCTGGGGTCAGGAGATAAGTTTCTAGAATTTTCGAGTTTAAGGCCTAGGAGCGTCTAGGAGATCTAGAGGTCTTGAGGTGCAAACCTATCTAGAGTCTGGAGTTCTAGAGATGCATAGGTGTAGAGGTCTAAGAGATCCAGGCGTGTAGAGGTGTTGAGATCCAGAGAGATTTGGATGGGTCTAGGGGTTGGGAGGCTCCAAGAACTAAGTCCAGAAAACCTAGGTTGAGAGAGGTTGAGATCCAGGGGAAGTCCTGAGCCTATCTCAAGGTCAAGAGGTCTTGATCCAGGTCTCGAGATCAAGAGAAGTCTAAACGTCTAAAATCTGGAGTTCTAGCGGTCTAGGTCTAGAGGTGTAGAAGTCTTAGATCCACCAAGTCCACAAGGTGCTACACCTGCACTGAAAACATCTGAAAACTGCGCGCCTGCCACGACATCCGCACTTGAAGGTTCACAAAGCGCCATCCCTGCCACAAAATCTGCACTTCGAGGTCCACAAACTACTGCGCCTGCCACAAAATCTGCACTCAAGGTTCACAAAGTGCTGCGCCTGCAACAAAGGGTACGTATGAAATATCTGCACATCAAGATTCACATCGCGCAGCCTTCCCAAGGAGTATGGCAGCAAGAGCACTTCCAAAGCAAATTTCTGAAGACGAGCCATAGCTGCTAGCAGCGAATTTGCTGGACACGGATGGCGATCACGTCGATCAAACACCACCCGGCCTTAACACTTAAGAACGCCTAATGTTTTCCTTGGATTAATAAAGTACCCCAGAATAGTGACACTTTTTTTCCTGCACAGATTAATAAAGGCCCCCAGAATACTGTTTTTTTTTTGGGAGGGGTAGTTGTAGTGAGATATTTTTTATTGTTATAGTTTACTTTTTCCCTTCTGACTTTGCTGAGATTTGCTTTTGTACAGGCTTTTGGATGGATATTTCTACTAAACAGTTAAAATCCCTTATTATCAGTATTGAAAAAACAAAAAAATCAATCAAGCAAAGGGGGTAGTCCAGCAAGCAAG